TTCTAAAAACCCATTTGGTTCCAATAATAGAAGTATTAGATGGCCTATGGACTAATTCCCAAACTTTGTTCCTTTCAAATTGATTTAGCTCTTCTTGCATGGCTAAAATCCAAAACTCATCATTTTCGGCATCCTTAAGACTTTTTGGTTCAATTTGAGAAACAAAAGCAAGATTATTAAATAAATTAATAGAAGAGCGAGTTTTCACACCTTGTTCGAGATCACCAAGAATCAAGTCCTTGGGATGAGACAAGGCATACCTCCATTCTTTTGGCATTGATGAAGAACCTTCTTCCTTTAAGCTCATCTCTTCTTTACTCATAACAATTTCTTTGCCGTTGTCACTAACGAGTAAATCTCCAAAATTTCTTTCTAAATCATCACTACAAATAGACTCATTAGAAATATTATTGCAAGATTCATCAAATACCACATGCATAGATTCTTCAATAACTAAAGTTCTCTTATTGAAAATTCTATAAGCTTTACTAGTAGATGAATAGCCAAGAAAAATACCAATATCCGTTTTTGAATCAAACTTTCCAAGCTTTTATTTGTTGTTCAAAATAAAACATTTACAACCAAAAACTTTGAAATACCCAACATTTGGAATTTTGTTATGCCAAAGTTCATAAGGAGTTTTATTTAATGAAGGTCTAATTAAAACTCTATTTAAAATATAACAAGCGGTATTAACGGCTTCCGCCCAAAAATATTTAGGTAAATCATACTCATTTAACATTGATCTAGCAAATTCTTGTAAAGTACGATTTTTCCTTTCAACCACACCGTTTTGTTGAGGAGTCCTTGGAGAGGAGAAGTCATGAGAAAAACCATTATCCTCACAAAATTTTTCAAAGGCAACACTGTTAAATTCTCCTCCATGGTCACTCCTAATTTTAGTAATTAAAAACCCTTTTTCATTTTGAACTCTTTTTACAAAACTAGCAAATCTTTTCAAAACATCATTCTTATGTTTTATCATCAAAACCCAAGTAAATCTTGAAAAATCATCCACTATCACAAAAGCATAATAATTTCCTCCATAACTAGCTATTTTAGAAGGGCCAAATAAGTCTATATGGAGTAGTTGAAGAGGTCTAATAGTAGAAATCATATTTTTAGATTTGAAAGAAACTTAGTTTGCTTACCCATTTGACAAGCATCACAAATTTTATCTTTTTCAAATTTAAGTTGTGGAAGACCTCTAACTAATGAATTTTTTGAAATATTTGAAATCAAGTACATACTAGCATGTCCTAGTCTTCTATGCCATAGCCAAGAGTTATCAAGCAAAACCGAAAGACATTTATCATTTGTAGGACAATCATTCAAATCAATAGTAAACACATTATCGTCTCTATTTCCTACAAACAAAACTTTTCTATCACTAGCATTTTCAATTATGCAATTATTCTTATCAAATACAACTCTAAAACCTTTATCACATAATTGACTAATGCTAAGTAAGTCATGCTTTAAACCATCAACTAACAATACATTTTCAATTAGAGTACAAGAGTCATTACCTATAGTACCCTTACCAATTATTTTACCCTTCTTGTTATCACCAAAGGTTACTAAGCCACCATCCTTCTTGGAAAGATTGACAAACTTGGATGGATTACCCGTCATGTGTCTTGAGCAACCACTATCCAAGTACCACTTATTTTTCTTGGAGGCTTTCAAACAAACCTAAAAACAA